TGAGGGGGGGGGTCCCCACTCCCCTCCGCAGCAACAACGCGGGCTCACCAGCGAGTCGAAGGTGTCCCTGGTGCAGGCGAAGAGGTGGCTGTTGATGCCCAGGGTGGTGAAGACGCACTCCTCGGCTGGGCTGCAGCACGGCTTTCTCTGCAGGCAGAGGTGAGCAGGCAGCCGGCCCCGCTGCCCAGCCCTGCCCACAGCACCCTCCCCCCGGCCCCGCGGGCACCTCCGGATGAGGCCACGGTGACGAGGATGAGGGCGTCCTCGCGGGTGCTCTGCTCCTCCGAGTACTGCAGCTTCTCGGTGACGGAGGCCAGGATGTCCTGCACCGAGGCCGAGAGCCGGCTGCGGATGGTCACGTACGAGTGGTCGGGCATGTACACGCGGCAGAAGACTGGGGAGAGGTGGGATGGGGAAACTGAGGCACGGAGCAGGCGCTGCTCGTTGCAGCCGCTGGCGAGCTGGGGGGGGAACCTGGCACCCAGCACCCATCCTGGCACCTGGAACCCATCCCAGCACATGAAACCCATCCGGGTGCTGTTCCAGCACCCATCCCTGTCCTGGCACCCAAAACCCCATCCTGGCACCCAGCACCCAATCTAGCACCCATCCTGGCACCCAAAAAACCATTCCAGCATCCCAGCAGCCATGCCAGCAGCCATGCCAGCAGCCGGTACACATCCCAGCACCCGTCCTGGCATCCAGCATCCATACGGACAGCCAGCACCCATCTCAGCAACTAGGATCCATCCCAACACCCATCCCTGGCACCCAGCATCTAAACTGGCACCCATCCTGGCACCCGAAAACCATTCCATCATCCAGCACCCATGCCGGCACCCATCCAGCACCCAGTACCCATCCTGGCATCCATCCCAGCATCCAGCATCCATATGGACACCCAGCGCCCATCCCAGCACCCAGAATCCATCCCAACACCCATCCCCCATCCCATCCGCCATTCTGGCACCCAAAATCCATCCTGGCATCCAGCACCCATCCTGGCACCTGAAAACCATTCCAGCATCCAGCACCCATGCCAGCACCCATCCCAGCTCCCGGCACGCATCCCGGCACCATCCCAGCATCCAGCATCCATCCCGGCACCCATCCCAGCATCCAGCACCCATCCTGACACCCAGAACCCATCCCGGCACCCATCCCTGCATCCAGCATCCCATACTGACACCCAGCACCCATCCCAGCACCCAGCACCCATCCTGGCACCCATCCCTGCATCCAGCATCCATACTGACACCCAGCACCCATCCCAGCACCCAGCACCCATCCCGGTACTCATCCCAGCATCCAGCACCCATCCCGGCATCCAGCACCAATCCCAGCAGCCAGCACCCATCCCAGCACCCAGCACCCATCCCGGCACCCATCCTTGCATCCAGCATCCATATGGACACCCAGCACCCATCCCAGCACCCATGCCGGCACCCATCCCAGCACCCATCCCGGTACCCATCCCAGCACCCAGCACCCATCCCAGCACCCATCTAGCACCCATCCCAACACCCAGCATCCATACGGACACCCAGCACCCATCCCAGCACCCATCCCGGTACACATCCCAGCACCCAGCACCCATCCTGGCACCCATCCCTGCATCCAGCATCCATACGGACACCCAGCTCCCATCCCAGCACCCATCCCGGTACCCATCCCGGTACCCATCCCACAGCCCATCCCAGCCCATCCCGGTACCCATCCCAGCACCCATCCCAGCCCCCATCCCGGTACCCATCCCAGCACCCATCCCAGCCCCCATCCCGGTACCCATCCCAGCACCCATCCCGGTACCCATCCCCGGTACCCATCCCGGTACCCATCCCGGTACCCATCCCAGCACCCATCCCAGCACCCATCCCGGTACCCATCCCAGCACCCATCCCGGTACCCATCCCGGTACCCATCCAGGTACCCATCCCAGCCCCCATCCCAGCCCCCATCCCGGTACCCCATCCCAGCACCCATCCCGGTACCCATCCCGGTACCCATCCGGTACCCATCCCAGCCCCCATCCCATCCCCCATCCCGGTACCCATCCCGGTACCCATCCCAGCCCCCGTCCTCCCCGCGCTCACTCTCGTCGGAGCCGCGGAACGCCACCCGCGTCTGCAGGCAGGAGTCGATGCGGCGGAAGTGCCTGAAGAGCGGCTTCACCTGCTTGTTCGGGGGGGGGGTCTCGTCGGCCACCCTGCGGCACGCACCGGGGTCAGGCAGGAGCCGCTGCACAACCGGAGCCCCCCCCCTCCCCGCGGCTTCGTTCGCTCCCCAAGGGCTGATGCTGCTGCTGACCCACAGGGACCCCCCCACACACCCCGTGCTCCCCGCTCACTTGAGCTCCACGGTCTCCACGAGCTGGTGCAGTTTGAGGATCTCATCCTCCAGGTCGCGGTACAGGGACGTGTCCTTCATGATGAGCAGGTAGAGCTCCTGGAGGGGGGGGGGGGAAAGGGGCTCAGGACGGGGGCGGAGATGGATGAGGAGATGGGACGGGGGGGCACCCACCTTGATCACCTTCCCGGCGCTCTCCTCCTCCTGCAGCAGCCCCTTGTAGGTCTCGAGGAAGTGCAGCAGCACGGCCAGCACCGCCCGCTTGCGCCGCAGCCCGGCCCCGTCCTCCCAGCGCGGCAGCACGAAGGTGGCACCGTCAAGGAGGCCCCACGGCAAGGACGGACCCCGGGCATCCCCTGTGCCCAGCCCGGTGGCGTCCCGCTGCACTCGAACCCATATGTGAGCCCTATGGCGCCCTAATTCCCTCACTTACTGCTCGCACCACAGCACCCTGCTGCCTCCCTCCATGCCCACCCTTGTGCCCATCATCTTGTCACCCTCATGGCGCTCTCTTGCCCACCCCAAAGCTCTCTTGGTTGCACCCTCATGTTCACCCTGTACCACCCCCATGCCCTCCCTATGCCCATTTCAGACCCTTCCCACTGCATCCTTGTGCCCACTCTCATTGCACCCCGATGCCCTTCTCATGCCCACCTCCAACGTGCCCCCCCCCCAAGGATATTGCTGGTGCAGCTGCTGCAGGAAGCGCTCGGTGGGCAGGAAGAGCGAGTGTGTGAGCACGATGTCATCCAGCAGCGATTCTGGGGGGGGATTTGGGGGCAGAAGTGGGCACACACACCCCCCCCTCCCCAGCACAGCCCCCCAACAGCACCCCCGGGGTCCTGCCCCCCATTAGAGCAGGCAGCCAAGGAGGGCAACGCCAATGACACCAGGACACATGGGACCCCCCACTGCCGGGAGGGGGTTTTGGCCCAGCTGGGTGAGCCAAGGGGCCGATCCCAGCGCTGATCCCGTCAGCGCCAGCACCCAGTGACCTTTGGACCGGGCACCACTCCCTCCCCAGCACCAGCACAACCCTCGGTCCTGGGCCCTGAGCAGGTCCCAGCCGATGGGTGCCCAGGGCTGCGTCCTAAGCCCCAGCACCACAGTGATGGGACACCAGGGTCCTTCCCAGGGCCCTCTCAAGCATCTCCCAAGCCCCAGTCCATTAACCAGGCCATGGAGCTCTGGCGAGCCGGGGCTGAGGCTCCCCCCAGTACGCTCATGCCAGGGCACAGTGCCCATGGCATCCAAGCTGCCACCAAAAGCAGGACACAGCAGTTTGTGGCACAGCCTGGCCCCCAGCACCACGTCCAGCACTCTGTATCAGTGCTGGGGCAGGCAGGGGCAGTGTGGGGGGCCCCCAGCTGCCCCAGACCTCCCCTGGGGTGCAAAAAGAACCGAAGCCCCCATCCCGGCTGCAGCACCCCCCCCAGCCCTGCCTCAGTTTCCCCATCCCTCTGCAGCAGCCACAGGACAGGTTTCCCACACCAGACAGGGGGGGAGCCTCCGGACCCCCCCCACTGGCTCCTGCCCCACTCCCCACCAGCCCAGGCACCGCAGGGCCGGGCCTGGCAGCGTGTTGGTGCAGGCAAGGCCCAGCGCTGCCAGTTCCATCTCGCCCCTTCACGAAGGCTCCACCGTGTCGATGGGGGAACCCCACCCCGGCCCGGGGCATCCCTGCAGCGCGGGGCTGGCGGCTCCTCGGGAGCCCAGCGGGGACCCCATGGGGTGGGAGCACCCAGAACCACCTCTGCACAAGGCACCGCGGCGGGACGGCACCGGGGGGGGGGGGCAAAGCAGGTGCCGGAGGGAAGCGGCGTCCGCCCGGCCCCGGCTCCACAGCTCGCACCGGGGGTAATTTTAGCCCCGGGATGTCCAGGATTAACCGATGGCTCCTGCGCCGGGCGGCGGCAGCCGCTGGCGGCCAACATCGGCCGCGTCCGGTCCTGGCGCAGCCACCGAGCCCCGCACCCGCACCCCAACATCGGCCGCGTCCGGTCCTGGCGCAGCCACCGAGCCCCGCACCGAGACCCTGCCCACCGCAACCCACGCGCGCCTTGGCTTGGCGCGGTCCCAGCCTGACCTTGGCACCAGAACCGGGGACGCACCCGCACCCCGCGCGGTGCCAGCCCCGCACCGGGCACGCGGCGCCTCCCGCCGCCGTTCTCCCACCCCGCATCCCCCAGCGCATCCCGCGGCAGGAGCGGGTGGGCGCCCATCAAATCCTCCCCCCCTCCACACACACCCAGCGCCGCCGCATCGCCCCCGGCCTCCCGCACCGCAGCGCAGCGCAGCGCAGGGCCGCGCTCCCCGCACCGGGCCCCCCCCGCGGCCGCCGCTCCCGGGGTCCCGCCGGTACCTGCTCCGCAGCCGCGGCCGTGAGCTCCGCCCGCCGGGAGCCGCTCCAGGAACGCGGTCAGGAGCCGCTCGGGGGGCACGGGCGCGACGGGGCCGCAGCCGCAGCAGCAGCGGGCGGCGGGCGGCGGCTCCGGGCTCGGTGGCTCCCGGTCCCGGTCCCGGTCGCCTCCCGGGGATGGATCCTCGGGGGAGCGAAGCGGCGCCTCGGGCGGACGCAGCTCCAGCCACCGGCCCTCGCCCCCCGGCTGCGGCCCCGCCGGCCCCGCCGGTTCCTCGGGCGATGCGGGAGGGCGCGATAGGCTCTGCCGCCGCGCTGCCGGTGCCGGTGCCGGTGCGGGGGGGCGGGCGGGCAGGTGCGAGCCCGGCTTCTTCAGCAACTTCTCCAGCGGCTTCATGGCCGCCCGGGCGCGGCGGCAGCGGCGGCGGCTCAGGGGGCCATGGGCGGCAGCGGCGGCGCGGGGCGGCTCCGCTCGGCTCCGGTCGGGCTCGGGCCCCGGCGCCGCTCCCCTCCCGCCCCGCGTTGCGCCCCGCGGCCCCGCCGGTAGCGCCCGCCCCGCCGCCCCGCCCCGCCGCCGCCCCCGGCCCCGCCGCCGGCACCTGCCCGCCCCCGCCGCACCGGCACCGGAGCTCTGGGATGCGGCGGCACCGGGACGCGGCCCGGCCCGTCCCGTCCCCCCACCCCGCCGCAGCCCCGCACCCGTGATGCGTTGCACAACCTCCGTATCCCGCTCCCCGCCCCGCTGCACCGGACGCGGCCGCACGGCAGCAGCCACACACGGGGCCCACGTCGGCAGAGCCCCCGCACCTCCCCATTGCCTGTGTGTCCCCCCCCCGCCGCACCGGCGAAGGGCGCAGTGTGTGTGCCCCCCCCCCAAAGGACTGTATCACATCCATGTCACGCTCCGGCACCCCTCGTCCCCTGGGGCACACATTCGGATTGTCCCCCCCCATGGTACCCCCTCCTCTGTGTCCCATCTATGGGGTCACATCCCCAGGTATGGGGTGATGCCCCCCCCCCCCCCCGGCTCAGCTCTCTGCCCCCCCCATCACAGCGTGGGAAAGGGCCGGGGGTGGGTGCTGGGCCCCCCCCCGGTGCTGGCTCCCCCGGGGCCGGGCGGGCAGGTCGGGGCAGCTCCTGCCCCCCCGCGCCGCTGCCAGGCCGGGAACAGGCGCTGCCGGGCCGGCGTGCTGGGGCAGGAGCCGGGGCAGGAACCGGGGCAGGAACCGGGCAGGCGCCGGGGCAGGGCAGGGCGGGACGTGGCGCCCGCCCGGGGCTGAGCTGCCGGGTCCCAGTCCCCTGGGTGCCGAGCACCTCCCGACACCCCCAGAACCAGGTCTGCATCGCCCTGGGCGCAGCGACAGTGGGGACAGCAACGGGGGGACAGAACCTGCACATCCCCATCCCCATCGCCCGGGTTCATGCCCTGCAAACCTGCGTCTGTAGGGTGGGATGGTGCCAAAAGACAGGGGGAACACAGCGGCTGACCCCATTGCCCACCCAAGGATGGAGGGATGGGGTACGGGGGTCCCGGCAGCTCCTGCTTTGTTCCCGCTTCCTCTGCACCCGGCAGTTGCTTGGCAACTCCATCCATGCGGCGGCGGGAAAGCAGCAAAACAGATCCCCGCATCCCCATCTCCGCTGCATGGGCTCTGGTGGGATGGGATGGCACAGCACGGCACAGCTCTCCTCCACCCCATGGCGCTTCTGACACCCCCCCCCATGACCCCAAACCAATCCCATGCAGCTCCTCCATCCCCACTGTATGGGGCAGCTGGAGGAAGGTGCCTGGCTCTGGATGCAAGCAGCATCATGCCGTGCCGAGGGAACGCGCCCCAGATTCGGGCCCATTGGCTCAGCCCAGCTCTCTTCCCCCAGCTCGGCAGGGACGGGGGGCACCGCTGGAGCAGCGTGAGCTATTGGCTTAATTAATTTGCTGTTATTCCTCCGAACGAGCTGGGATCTGGAGCAGGCGCTTCCCTCCCAAAGCCTGCGCCTCCATTTGCAGCCGCGTGGGCAAGCGAGTAGAGGGGGGGGGCACGAAGCCTCTGGGCACTGCTCAAAACAGCAGGAGGGAAAGATTGCACCGAGGGAGAAATCCCTCCCCGAGCCAGTGCCTCAATCTGCTTCCCAGCATGCGGGGAAGGGGAGCGCGCCTCGGCATGGGGGGGACCCATCCTTCCCCCCCATGCCGGTCCCCACTCGGTTGGGGTGCAGTGGGAGGCTGCAGAGCAGGGTAGGTGCCACCCAGCACCGGTTTTGCCGTGGGAAGCCGCGTTGGAGGGAGGCAGCAGCGCAGCAGCGTGCAGGCAGCAGCTCCCGCACCACCTCCACACCACTTGTTCCATCCCCTGCAGGGAGCAGGGGCTCGTTGTGCGCTGAGCCCGGCTGCCGGGGGCAGAGCTGGGCTCCGGGCCGGGCTGGAGCTGCTCTTCCAGTCCCACCAGCAGCTCCTAGGAAGGGAAGAGCAGCTCCTGGCCCGCGGCAGCGCAGGGGAAGGGCTGCCGGTTCTCCTTTGGAAGCACTCAGCGCAGGGAAAGAGAGACAAGAGAGAGCTGGCTGCTTTCTAACACATGTTCTCATCCGCGTGCCGATACAACACCGGTTACAAATGTGCACTTCTACGGGACAGGAATCCAAAGAGACAAAACCAAAACCCGTCACAGTGTTGTGAGGTCCAGGACTTCAGCCACCAGGACCAATACATCAATGATTCACTTCGAGCCTTAAGGCAGAAATGGTTACACGGAGAACACGAGGGGTTCCTGCTTTGACGCCTGGGATGAGGTACAAAAAGGGCACGGAGTTACAAACAAGGAACAATGCCGGGCATGCGGGAGGAGATCTGGACCAGAGAGCAGGCAGGTGGGCCCTGGGCACCCTCCCTGGGTGCAGATGGGGACTCGGAGGCCAAGATGCCACTTGCTTGGAGCAAGGATGCTCCTGCTCTCCTGTGCTAGCAGCTGCCACCTCCCCAGGCTGCCCCAGCACGTGCTCGACGCAGCCGGCATGGGCAGGGATTGGCAGCCGGCCCTCACCAAGCTTCTTCCTAATGCAATTTGCCAATGGCTGCGAGGATACGGCCAAGCCCGAGTGGCATCGGGAGCTGGTGGGATGCTGCTGCAGAGCTGGTGCAGCCGGCACCGCATCGCTGTGCCGAGCGCTAGCAGGGAAACCAAAGCTGCAAGGTCCCAGGGAGCGCTGGTTTTCGTGGTGGCAAACGCTTCCTGCTGGGGCTGGGAGCCCAGGTTGGATCCTGGATGCGTCAGGGCGGGTTCCAACACCCCCCCTTCCGCTTCCACAGCGGCAACACCCAAGTGCTGGGAGCAAATCACTGCCCTGCTTGCCCCGTCTGGCTGGTTTGTGGCTGGCAGGGCTGCTCGGGCAGCGTCGGGGTGCCCATAAACCTCCCTCCCTCCCCGCTGCTGATCTGGCAGAGGTGCAGGAGGAAACCTCGCCCTGCTCTGCAGGGTGTGCTTGTGGTGGCGACGGCAGCGAGGGGGTCACCCCGTGCTTGTGCCCGTGGATTCCCATTGATGGGAGCTGAAAGCTTGCAGAGACGTGGACAGAAACCACCAAAGACACAAGTGACCAACGGGGCTTGTTGGGAAAAAGAAGGAGCTTCTAAATTAAGTGGTGGCTGCAGAGCCAGCGCGTTCCAACAGCCCCCGATGGCCCAGCTGCCCTCCCCGTGCCTTAACAATGGCAGAAATAAACTTGCTAATTATAAAAGAGAATTAGAACGACCGCCTCAGCTGTCTCCATGGGGGGACGGGGGAGGCGGCGGTCCCATTAGCCAGACAAACGGATCCAACATACCCAAAAAGAAACAAATCAGCTTTACTGAAGGAGCTGGTTCATTTCTTAAATAAAAACAGAGAGCACAATCAAGCCAACGGAGTTTAACATCCTAGGGGAGGGGACAGGGCAGACATTTAGTAAGGGAGAGAGAAGCTGAGAGAACTTGTGGCCAAGGCCCTGGGGGTTGATTCCGCAGGGAGGGAGGGGAAGGAGGGCAGATCAGCAGCAGTGAGATGATTTTTGGGAGGGCACCGGTAAAACCAGAGGGGGAAGGTGCCTGGCCCTGAGCACGAGACGGTGCAGCTGATTTCCTCCCGCTGCCTCACCTACGCCCAGGGAAGAAGCCTTTCCCCAGGAGCTTCCTCCGCGCCGAGGGGCTGAGGCTGGCGTCGGGATTCCCACGGCTGCACCTCTACGTGTTGCTCCTCTCCTTGGATTTTTCACCTTTGCTGTCCTGGTGGGCAAGAGGAAGGAGAAACGGGGGTTTTTAGGCTGCACCAACACCAGCGCGGGGGCTGCAAGTGAACACCCTCCTCACCCGGGTGCCAGAACACAACCACCGCCCGCCCATGCCCCCGGCTTCCCCAGTGCCCCATATGGGCACAGCCAGCCCCCTCCAGCCCTGCTCTGCTCAGGGTTAAACACCTTCCCCTCACGAAGCCTTCCCAACGCTCTGATCAAGGTGATGAGAGCACCTCGCAGCGCATCGACACGCACTGCGTGTCCCCAGCCCGTCACCGCTGGCACAAGCCTGCCCAGCTCTGCTGGGGCTTGTTGTGTGATGATTCCGGCTCCCTCCGTGCTGAGCAAGGCATGGAGAAAGGAAACCAAACACACACGTGGCACCCTGGCACACACACAGCTCACAGGACGGGAGCGAGGAAACCATTCACAGCACAGAGAAACAGCTCTTGCCTCTGGAAAGTCTGCTGCCTGAGCTAGCTACTAAGGTCTTGACTCTTACTCTTCAGGAGAAGTCACTGCCTTCTAGCTTAGGACTGGGTTTTTCTCTCTCTAAAGCGCTCTGCTCTCTACCCTGAGCAAATAAAACAAAGCAAAACAAGCAAGAGTCAACTTTGGACTTACTTTTTATGCGGGTTTAGTTTTAAAGTATTTAGAAACCCAACTTAACTGGAACCCTGCTTACCACCTGCAACGAGAACCTGAAGTATGGGACATGTCAAAGATCAGACAGGTTAAGACTTCCCTAGAACAGCATGTTATATGGGATGGGATGGGAGAGGGAGACTGCAGCCCCGCGCACACCCCGAGGGCTCAGCATCACACATGCACGGGCTCGTGCCGAGGGGATGGTACCTCAGGAGGTGGTGGCTTGATAGTCACGGGCTGGGATGTCCTTCGAGGAGGAGAAGGCTTGGGCTGCACTTGCTGCTGGACAGTGTTGTAGTAGGTGACCCCTCCATACACCTGGGACTGGGCCTGCGCTCCCCAGAGAGCAGAAGGGTCAGTGCTGGGGGGGGCACAGAAACCTGCAGCCCCTGTGAGAGCACCACGTGTTATGGTGCAAAGCTGGGCTGTGACAAGATGCCACCACCGGGCACCGAAGGTGAGAGCAGTCCCAGAGGGACCAGGCTTGGTTTGTGCTGTGCTCCACAAGGTCACAAAGAACAGCAGCACTTACCCCTCACATAGGATCATCCCTTACCCCTGCCCCTCACCAGGGCATCGGGGCAGTGCCAGGCTGCAGTAGCCCACAGCCACATCAGACTGAGGTTCACAGATGGGTTTCCTTCACCCTCCAGTTTCCCAGCTGCCATAGTACATCTGTGCCTTGCAACAGCAGCAGCTACTACTTTCCTACATGGGCAAGGCAGGTAATGGCTCCTCACCACACCCAGATCCCCTCCAGCTGCAGGGGGCTCAGGATCTTGCCCCCAGGCTCCTGCCAGGGCAGTGGGATGGATGCAAGGGAAGGTCAGAAAGGTTGCAGGGCTTGGGAACGTGCATCTCTCCCGCCTGCCACTGCGTGTCAGCCGTGTGCTGCTCCCAGGAGCAGAGGGCTCCTCCTCCCTGCCCAGCAGCTCTGTGGACACAGAGGTGGGACTCGGAGCAGGAAAAGCCAGCCCCGTGCTGCTCACACCAAGGGCTTCCCAAGGAACAGCACCGGGCAGTTTCCAGCCTCCTGCCCCCATCTCCAATGGAAAGGGCTTCCAAAGCCATTTTCACAGACTGGTTTGTGTTGGAAGGGACCTTAAAGCTGATCCAGTTCCAACCCCCTGCCACGGGCCGGGACACCTTCCATTAGAGCAGCTTGCTCCAAGCCCCATCCAACCTGGCCTTGAGCACTGCCAGGGATGGGGGGGGGGGGGGGGCAGCTTCTATTTTCAAGGTGGTCTTTGCTTAGCATGGGCTTGGGGGGGATGTAAAAGGTCACAGGCTCCCAGTGGGCTGCTCCCCTGCTGCAGGAGAAGGCCTCGACTCTGAGACCCATCAATACAGGCATTTCATCCACTAGTTCCTAATTTCAGGGTACAGCAGCAGGGCTGTCATCCTTTCCAGTTACCCACCCCAAGCAGGGAGAGGGATGACAGTGAACAACCTCCCAGCACAGAGCAGCCCAGCTGCTCCACATCCTCTCCCAGCAATCCCGAGGCTATACCCACACTCCAGAGGATCCCATCTGCCTTCGACAGCTCCTGCTCAGGGCGGGATGCGCTGCTTACCTGCGTGTTGGAATAGAGATGTGGAGGGGGCGGGGGGGGCAGCGCTCCCGGCGGGTAGGGATAGCCAGGATTCCCAAAATTCATGACTCCAGGAGGGGAGAAGTAAGTCGGGGCCAGCAGCTGCTGCGGAGGGGGCTGCCCCGGGGGCATGGAGACGGGCGGAGGGTACAGGCCAGGGTTTGCCATGGGGGCTGGCGTCTGGTGGGGATGTAAACCTGGGATGAGAGGAAAACATGCTTAGTGTGGTGTGGGGGGGAGGAAGAGAAGGGGGAGGAAGAGGAGGGGGAGGAAGAGAAGGGGGAGGAAGAGAAGGGGGAGGAAGAGAAGGGGGAGGAAGAGAAGGGGGAGGAAGAGAAGGGGGAGGAAGAGAAGGGGGAGGAAGAGAAGGGGGAGGAAGAGAAGGGGGGAGGAAGAGAAGGGGGAAGAAAGCGCTTCTCAGCACAGTGGAGCACAGCTTCTTCCCCAGCGCAGGGTCCCAATTCCCTGAACCAGCCACAGCCCCAGGTCAGCACATCCCACCCCCTTCAGGAAGCAGTTTTTGTGGAAGATGGGGAAATGCCAACTCAACAGCTCTGTTTCTGCTTTTCTTCTCTCATCTAGAAGCATCAGGGACCAAAGAACCAGCCGAGCACAGCAGCTGGCAGAGCCAAGCGCCTCACTGAAGGGGAAGCAGCTCAGGCAGGAAGGTCTGTGCAGGACATGTAGACATCCAGCTAGAGCCTGCCAAACCAGTCAGATCCCCTCAGTCCTGTGCTGGCTGCAAGGGCCAGAAATGCCCAATTGTCCTTCCTTTAAATTTATACTGATTCAGCCTCCCAGTGCATGAGGGAAGCAGGTCTCTTCCACGCTTTAAGACACAGGCAAAATGAATTCCCCCAGTGACAGGAGGCTGTGTGGAACCAGAGTTAGCTGCTCCCTGGTACAAGCTGCGCACAACCACGTCGCTATCATGCCCCATGCCGGGAAGCTGGCTCCTCACCTGGATGAGGGAGGTGCATTTCTGGCTGTACGATCATGCCCTGGGGCGGCAGCGGGGCTGGGCTCTCACTGTGGGTGTAGATTGGTCCCTGGAATTGTACTGCAACACACAACAGTCGGTAAGGAAAAGCTCCAACCAGTTTTGTTCTACTGCAGCAAGTCACATGCCCGCCCCAACCAGCCACGGGGACAAGATGCTGTGCTGCAAGCCACATTCCCATCGGCACACGCAGTCTACCAGGCTGACAGATGCTACCCGCTCCCAACAGAAAAGCCTCCTACTCCTTTTACAAAGCAGGAGAATACTCAGGGAATCTCTTCTCTTGCACTTTAAATGCCGGAGTAAACTCCTCATCCATCCTCAGCCTTGTTCTGTATTTCTCCCCGCTCTTAAATGTCAAAGGCGTTGCTCTGATTTCAAGTTAATTTTAAATCCTAGTTTTTGTGAAGGAAAGCAGTGTCCCAGAGACTCCAGAGGGGAGGTGGCAACACTGATTCTATTCCAGTGGTTACAGCCCCGAGCAGGGAGGCTCAGAGCCGCCTCTTAATTCACTGTATGTGACAATGACAAAGCCCTAACAGCAATGGGGGGACTCCTGCTCCAGCTGCTCAGGTCCAGGCACACACAGAGCCTCGGGAGCAGGACGGAAGCACTCACGTGGGTCATAGTAGTGCCCTTCCATGATGCTGATGTGCATGGGGGGGGCAGGCTCTGGCACAGGTGCTCTCTGCCGCTGCGACGAGTAGCGTTTGACACGGCCCCCCTGCACGGCCTGAAAGAGTCCAAAGGCATCGGTGAGGGTCCGGAACACTCCAGCCCTTCCCAGCCCCTGCAAACCTCTAATCTGGGTCACACAGCAAGAACTGGGAACACCCACAAAAGGGAAAGGCTGAGGTGTCCCAGGCAGCCTCTAATTACCACAACCCAGAAACAAGTGCATGCCAGGCCAGGCTTTTCTGCACTTCTAAAAGCAAGAGTCACGCTCCACGCAACATGCTTTACCATTTCCTCCATCCTGTTAAACTGAGGCGGTGGCCCAGTTCCCACGTGCAGATGGTGGTTAGGAATACCTGAGGAGGAAACAAACTGGTTATTATGGTTTGCATTTATTCCTAGGGAAGAGCCACCTCACCCACCAAGGGAGACACCAGGAGGTGGCGGCAGCCTGGGGACGTGATTGTACTACCAATAGGTAGAGCTCTTGCTTGCCTGACAAGGAACCTTCTGACAACCTCATCTCTTCGGCTACCATGTGAAATGTTTCAGGACAGATGAGGAGCTGTTGTGTCACTCTACAATCACCCATGCTGCTCAACACCTTTGAAATCTTGCTAACAAAGAGAAGTCCTCAGCCTGAAATCCAGGTCCTGATCTATAAGCCCTGTTCCTGCCGAGACAAGGAGCTCCTCAGAGCAGAAACAAGGAGCCACGTGGGACCGGGTAAGCTGCAGTTTAAACCTTCTCCAGGGTGTAACCACTTTTAGCACGGGCTCCTTTTAATCCAAACAACAAAGTTCTGGCACACGTTTAAAAGCACGGTGCCAAGCTAATCCCAGGTGATCCCAAGGGAGCCAAAGTGGACAAAACAAACAGTGGAAGTGCCCACGGATCACTGGTACTGCAAACACACGCACGGGCACACAGCCCGTGCCAGCCAAAGGCCTCCCAGAATCCTGCCTTCTCTGCTAGGAAGAAACAAAAGGGACAGTGGAGTAGGATGTCCTTCTGACAGACAAAGTGGTCTCCTCCTGCGGTCTGGAGCTGTCTCGTGGTAAATCTGTGAAGATGTTTTAAGCCCAAAAATAAAGGAGTCTATGATCTCAGCTGCAGATCACAGCATGTTGGAACTCTCATCCCACTGACACATTTAAAGCCTGTCTCCTCACATCCACAGTCAAGACCGAGAGACTTCACACAAAGCTCTTGCCAGTCGCATCAGTACAAGATGACTTATGGTTTCGTGACCTAAACCTCAAGAGATGCTTATGAAAGCAGGAAGCTGCTCTCTTCTCCTTGCTCCAGTTTTATTTCCTTTGGGAAGAACTCCAACAGACCCCAGAAAAGATTCTCATTCTGCAAAGGGATAATTATACCTGAGTGACCTCTTGCATGGAGGCTCAACTAGAACTCAGTCCTTAGCTCACACGGGGAAACTCTGCCTCGAATCCCTCCCGCTGCTGCAAATGGAGCAGCTTCCTCCCACGAGGCACAGATTCATTTGCCAATCCCAGCCAGGCCTTAGCTTGTGCCAACTAAATCCCAACGCTAGGAACTACACTGATAAACAGAGGGAAGCTCCCTCCTGCTCCTAGCAGGACACTGCAGGAGCCTGGTTATCCATCGCCCTACCCGCCAAGCGAGCACAAGGCTCCTCATCTCCTGAACAATGACTCTGGCTGCAGCAGCCGGTCTCACTGTGACTCCCAAAGTCCCCTTTTCTCTTCTGTTTTGTCCCCTCTAACCACCTCTATTGCACTTCTCAGCACCCCTGTCGTGGATCCACCTCAAGACTGAGGCAGACACAGTTCAGCTCTGCCTGTCTACTGTGTTTGGCTGTAGTCGAAAGCCAACAGGCAGCACCCACTTACCCCTCAGCTCCCGGGGCTGTATGAACTGAGACTGCCCTGGAGCCCAGTTCTGCTCAGCGAGATTCATTTGGGTCATTTCTTGCTCGAGTCCATCCAAGCTGGATTCTACTGGCGACTCCCAATTGCTGCTCTTGGCTGGTGGGAGGGATGTCTCAGCTTGCACGGGTTTTGGAGGCACAGGAGCCAGCCCTTCCGAAGCGGGCACTTCATCCGCCAGCTTCCCTGCATCCCCAGCTTTGATTCTGGTCCTTCTTGCCCGGGAATAAGACTTCTTTTCAATTGGTCTGTCTGGTGGTGGCTGGGCAGCATCTGCAGCTGTGGCTTGGTTTTCCAAAGCAACCTCCTCCCTTACAGGGCTGCTGTGGACGTGTGCTGCTTCCACCTCGGGTGACTTGTCCCTCGGTGGGGTCTGCTCTGCACGCTTCCCTCGGTAGCTGCCCTCCTGTTTCACTTGCTCACCGTTCCGAGACAGATGCTGGATGCTGGCTTCTGAAGCTCGGTAGCCTGGACGGGTCTCTTTGTAGCCCCCCAGCCTTGGGTAATTCCTAGGTGGGGGCATCCTCCCTGTCCCTGCAGAGCTCCTGTTGGTGAAGGTTCGTGGGGGAGCTGAAGTGCTGTCTGCACCTTGGTGCCTCGGGGGCTTATTGGGCCTCTCGTTGGACCAGTTTGGATCTCGCTGAGGAGGACTCCCAAACCTGAGGGGGGACAAATAGGACAAACAACTGGAAACAAATTCCTGGTGAAAGGTACCACAGGGAAACCCTCTCCACGGTGTCCAGAGATCCCAGGACCAAGCTCACACCTCAGAGACCAATGCCATCAAGAGGGCTTCCCCACTTTGGGATTTCAGACCTGTCTCCCTCTGGGAGAAGCCAGCTCCAGTCTGACCTTGCTGCTCACCTCGGTTTGCGCATCCTCCTTGGCTTGATGTCGTCAGGGTTGTGTGCTGATCTGATGTCGTAGCCATAGAGCGCGATCAGCTCCTGCCTGGTCTTGGGGGCTTGCTCGTCCTCCCGGAACTTGTCATGCTCCCAGCGGCCCTCGTCCTTCCACAGCTTCCTCTGACGACCCTTTGGCCTGGAACAGTCACACCAGAAGTTGTTCCAAAGGAAATGCAGCAGTTCCCACCAATCCCATGCCCAGAGACCAAGTGGTTCTAGGGCTGGGTGTGCACAGGAGACAGCGTCTTCTGCCTAAGAGCTCATCTCGATCTCCCCTCTGTCAGTTTAGAGCCCTTACCTATGGGGGATGCTCACATACCTGACCTCCTCCTCCTGTGTCTGCCCTCGGAGGTCATGCTCGAAGAAGAGCCCTTTCCGTGGGATATAAGCTGGGTTCTTCCGATCCTCATCGTCATCCAGGTGCTTGGGAACCTTTTTCCCAACTTTATTCTCCACGGGTTCAGTGCTCTCCTGTCAAAATCACAGCTCTCACCACTACAGCAGTCCCCCTGTGACAAGCCTCCCCCCGGCCCAAGGAACCCATGCTTGACACCTACCTGCCCGTCCCCGCTTTGCCTCTCACCAGTCACAGCACCCTTAGAGTCTGGTTTCTCGTCCCCTTTCTCCGCTTTCGCCGCTGATCCAGAGGAATCGTTACTGTCCTGCTTCAGTTCCACTTTGGCACTTTCCTCCTCGCTGTAATCCTCTTCTTCCGCCTGAAAGAGCCTCGGTTACTCTAACACGGACCTTCAGCAACAGCTTCCCCAGGAATTTCCCCACACGAGTCCCCACATTTGGTGTCAGATCCTTGTTCCAGCTGTTGAGACCTGCCCCTCTCAAAGCAATGGATTAGCTCTTAAGGTCCTTCTCATCCCTGTATTTTGATGGAAAGAGCAAACCAAATGCACCCCCTCTCCCCATCCCTATCAGGTCCAACAGTCTGGCTTTCCAGTCTGGGACCAGCTCCATGGCAAAGGCAGGGAGACAACGAGCGAGGGCCCTTGGACCATCCCTTCCTTCCCACGCCAGGGCCCGGCCCCAGCCAGCGCCGCTTCCAGATTCCCTGGAGTCACTCAGCTGAGTCACTGGGAGCTCTCTGCTCGCAGGAGCTGACCTGGTTTCACCCTCCAGGAGCCTGCAAGCCCTGCTGAGGCTGAACCCACACTAAAAATAGCCCCGTGTGATTAACAAAAAGACTGCTCTGTTTTTCTCTTTCAACACAGCGTATTTGCACATCAACTGCTCCTTTTGTTTACGCTGGGGAAGCCCAGACAGGGCATTATTTTTAGGCACAGGAACAGAGTCATCCTGGCACGGCAGTGATGCAATACCCCCTGCAATGTGCACCACTGCGACCGGGAGCCTCCATGCAGCTTTCCAGGCACGAAGAGCTGCTGCACGGTGAACACCGGGAGCTGCCCCTTTCCCTCCACGTGCTACCTCCACAGCCTCCCCATTAATGACATAAATTAATTGACCAAGTATAGCCCTAAGAGCTTTGATTTCATCTGCCTTGTTTTCCTGTGTTGTCTTTAACTGCTGCCCCCCTCCAGATCCCCAAAACAGCTGCTTCAAGAGAAGGGCTCTCACTAGGAAACCTTCGTCGTCATCATTAGAAACCACAACTTCTCTAAACTGCCTGGAAACGGTAAACTTGCTGCTCTGAGCTAAAAACCTCAGCCACAGGGCACAGGCAGGGGGGCTCAGGTAGCGTTTGCTGCATATACAGCCAGCACAGAGCTATCAGCACTCCTGGGGCACATTCCCCTTCCAGCTGCCACACACACGGATGCTTCAACCCAGCACGCATCCTCCGCTTCCTTCCACACCCTTCTGGGCCATGGCTCCCAGTATCCCAAACACACCGGTCCCACAGCCACCCCAGCAGCACGGCGGCTTCTCTGTACACAGGGAACCACCGGTGAGGGGCTGGTACCCTGAGAGAAAGGCAGTGCTGCCAACGGGGAGGTGGAAAACAAGGGACACCAACTGGGGGTTGTGCTGATTATGTGAGGTGCAAACAGCGGGCAGAACACTCGGAACACCAGGACAGAAACTGCTCTTACCTCCGAGTCTTCGGCGCTTTCATAATCCGAGAGCACAGCTGCAGGGGAGAAAAAGGAGTCGGGTGTTAAGGCAGGAGCAGAAATGCAGCTTCTCCGTGAGTGTAACAAGCAGAGGGGCACAGAGCAGCCTCTCCAAGGCAGAGGCCAGCACCAGCGTGTCCCCAACACACCCCACTGCCAGCACAGGAGGAAGGAAGGATGAGTCTGGGGCTTCCTGCCCCTGCACCCACTGTTTGCCCACTGTTATGAGTTCATATTTGGGACTGCACCAACTGCAGGGCCATTGGAGAAGGCGTTTTGTCCAGCTTTCCCATTTGGCACACGGACAGCACAGCCAGGAAGTCGTTACTCACCATCTCCCTCGATGCCATCCTCGCTTTCCTGCGGGAGAAGGGGAGAAAGGCAGGTTAGCAGAGGGGGAGGTCAGCAGCCCAGTCCCAGTATCATCCCACACACAATCCCAACAAAGGCTGGCTCTGGTCCTGTGGCATCCGCCCTGGGAAGTTCAGCTCCAGTGAGCAGAAAAGAAACAAACCCCAGGCTCCCAATGCCTTTTTCTTAGGTCTTTCTAAAGCAGCTCAAGAAGAAACCAGCACAAACTGTGTCAAGTGCTGGAGAGCTTAGAAGGGAAAGAGCAATGCCAACAATGCCAGGGCCTCTCCCTCCGTAACGAGGGCCAGACAAGCCAGCTCCTGGAGGATTCCTTAAAGCAGGAATAAGGAATAGATGCTGAACATGTCCTCAAGATTCAGTGATAGAAGCAGAGCCCTGCACCGTGGAGAAGCCACTGGCTCATGGAATCATGGACCAGATGAAGCGGAGCAGCTCAGATCCAGAAGTTTTTAGTTAAAAGAACACACTGATCAACCTGTGCAGTGAAAACAAACCCAGATCCCAACCAGACAACGTGCTAATGGGGCCAAACGTCAAAACTGGGGGGGAAACTTGGAATAACCGGTGCAGGAACCCAGGATGGGAGCAATTCGCATCCAGACCAGGGCAGGAGCCCCACGCCGCGGGGCAGCAGCGCCACAACCTCCCTCTAAAGGTGTCCTTTCCATTAGGGAAGGCCGCTCAGGGCGGATCCATGACGGAAAAGGGGAGCAAACCCGCACCTGCACCCGCCGCAGGGGCCCGGTTGGAGGGGGGGGGGATTCAGCCCCTTCCCGGTGCTGGAGCCCGGCTCGAATGGAAACCCAAGGGCGGGACCCAGCGCAGGGCCCCGCGGCGCCCATCGCCCCCCCCGCCCCGCACGCCCGCACTCACACACTCGGACTCGGGCGCGCTCTTGGCCGCTCCCCCCGCAGCGCTCTCGGCGCCGCCGCGGCCCCGCGGCCCAGCGCTGAGGGCTCCCGCGGCGCCCCGCGGCGGGCGGTGCTGCGGCCGCGGAGACCCGGAGCGAGACCCGGAGCCGGAGCGCGATGGGGAGCGGGCGGCGCTGGCGGCCGAGGCGCCGCTGTCGGAGGCGGCCGAGTCCGAATCCGAGTCCGAGTCCTCGCTGTCCTGCGAGGCGCGCTGCCGCCGCCGGTCCGCCATCTTGGCCCAGCGCGCGGGGCACGCCGGGACGGACTACAGCTCCCGGCGGGCCCCGCGGCGGGCGACGTCACGGCCATCCCGGCAGCCCTCGCGCGAGGGCCCGCCCGAGCGCTTCTCTGCCCGGCAGGGGGCGCGCGAGCGCCGGGCAACGTGCCGACGTCAGCGGGCGGGTGGCGTCACGGCGGCGGAAGTGACGTCACGCGCGGGAGGGCGGGCTCGCGGATCTTTTATCGTAAATAAAAAAAAAAAAAGGCATAAAAAATAAACACCGAAATTAAAAAAAAACAAAACCCTCACGTGACACCCACCCCCTCCACCCCCCAAACTTCAAATTTGAGACGCCAATTTCAGGCTTTTCAGAGCACTTTTCAGTTTTTGTACCAAATTCCAGGTTTTCCAAGCAAATTCCAGGTTTTCCAAGCAAATTTCAAGATTTTCATAGCAAATTTAAGGTTTTCCAAGCAAATTTGAAGGTTTTTGTAGCAAATTTCAGGTTTTCCAAGCAAATTTCAAGGTTTTTGTAGCAAATTTCAGGTTTTCCAAGCAAATTTCAGGTTTCCCAAGGAAATTTCAGGTTTTCCAAGACTATTTCAAAGTTTTCGTAGCAAATTTCAAGGTTTTGTGCCAAATTCCAGGTTTTCCAAGCAAATTCCAGGTTTTCCAAGCAAATTTCAAGGTTTCCCAAGCAAATTTCAGGTTTCTCAAGCAAATTTCAATGTTTTTGTAGCAAATTTCAGGTTTTCCAAGCAAATTTCAGGTTTTCCTAGCAAATTTCAGGTTTTCCTAGCAAATTTCAGGTTTTCCTAGCAAACTTCAAGGTTTTTGAAGCTAATTTCAGGTTTTCCAAGCAAATGTCCAGGTTTTTCACCCACACTTCAGGTTTTTCCAACCAAACTTCCTGGTTTTCGATACAAATTTCCTCCTTAGAATGTGTTTTTACACCAGTTTCCCCCATTAATGAGCCCTCTGGTGCCCCATGGGCAGAGCCCCATGGACACAGCCCCATGGCCGGACCCTGGGGGGGATCTAAATCCCTCCAGACCCCCCAATATGGGACTCAAAGACGCGGCTCCGCTGACCTTTGTCCTCTTTAATCGCTGCTGGGGGGGAGGGGACATACACTTGGACCCCCCCCCCCGGAACCCCTCCCCCATGGCCAATGCCACCAAGGTGGGGGTGGGGGGAGGATCCATCCCCATCTCATCCCTCCCCACCCCCGCTGCCTCAGGCCAAACTTCAGCAACCTCCAAACGTTTAAATTATTAACCAAAAAACCCCAACAAAATTCACAAAAAAAAAAAATAAACCCCAAAATTGTGCGTTCAGGAGCTCTATTTCACAAAAAAAAAAAAAAAAAAAAAAAAAAAGAAAATAGAAGGTTTTTAACCCCCCCCTCCCCCCCCCCCGACCCTGTCACAGCCACTGAGAGGGGCACCAACATCCCAAAGAGCGTTCCCAGGAAGCACCGTGCCCCCACCCTGGTGTTCATCCCATTTCCTAACTAAACAACAAGGCAGCAATTCCCGACGGGACGCGGCATTCCCCGGCACCGGCTCCACCGCTGAGCGTCCACAGCATCCCAAACACGGGCACCGAGGATGGGGTTGGGGGTCCGTGAGCTGCCGCTGGGACCGGAGCAGCCGGGATACGGGATGGGGGAGCCTCATCCGTCTGCGGCACAGGGGGATGAGTCCGAAGAACGCTTGTGAAACCCAAGGGAACAGAACTGGGATCACGGAGGGACGGAGCCATCCGTCAAACACGGCCGTGGGACGAGCCAGGGATGCCCGGAGCTACTTCCGACAGGTCCGGTGCGGCGTCTGCTTCTTCTGCACCTCCAATCGGCAGCGACTGCGCTCGTCCAGCCAGGGCAGCTCGAAGTTCCTATGGGAAGAGACAAAGCCATTCCAGTGTCTTCCCGGTGGGGACTGGTATGAGCAGCCCCAGCCCTCCCCGCTGCTGGGGACCACGGTACTCACTGTGGGGTCAGTTTTGGTAAGGGCCGGCCAAAGGCGACGACGGGCAGGTATGGGGTGATGAGCAAGCTTTCCACTGTGGGAGAGATGGGAGCGTTAAGGATCCCCCTACCTATACCCTAATTCCTCTTCCTGCCTGCATCCCACTGCCAAGGATACTCACCGTCATCTGGCTCAGGGAAAAATGAGGTAACTTCAGGTTCCGACTCCTGAATCCCTTTCCTTTTGTACATTCGGAGCTGCAGCCGCTGTAGAATTCTCTGTTCCCTGATCCGCTGGATGTCCCACCTGGAAAACAGGATGCCCCTGGGAAGCTCAGGAGGCTGTGCCGGCTGCCACGTCCCTCCTCTAGCAGCATTCCCGGTTCCCATCCCCACTGCAGCCCAGTCCTGCACCCCAAAGAGGATCTGCTGTGCTGGGGACCCGCAGTCCTGCATCGCCCTCTTTGCTCCCACCTTTTCCTTCGTTTTTCATCCAGCTCCAGCTTCGCGTGCCGCTTGGAAAAGACGCTGTCGTCCAGGTTCTGTAACAACAGATGAGGATGAGCATGGCCTCGCTGCACCAGATCCGTGTCCCACAGCCCTAAGGCTCGTTCCTCACCCTCACCCCATCCCAACAACTGCCCCCAGGGTTTATGCTGGATGCCACCAGTCCCAAAATGAACACTGAGCTGCGCTCCTGGAGCGGGAAGGCTCCAGTTATGGGAATGCTGTACATACCTCCAGGATGTCTGAGGGGTCGGGGTCTCTCAGGGGCTCCACGACATGGTCCCTCCAAGATGGAACTGCAGGATGAGAGGCCAAGTGTTAGCTCCACACTGGCACCCCGACATTCCCATGCTCCAGCCTCATCCCACCGCCTCACTGCTCCTTGCCAGCCCATCCATCCCTCGGAGGGCACGGCTTGGGCCCTCCCCAAAAGCCCATCCTGAGCCTGGCCAGGCAATGCCGCTGGTTGAGGGGTAGGGAGAGTTCATCACCATGCCCCCGGCCAAGCGCACGAGCAAACCTGAGCTGCTCCGAGAGGAGATGTGCCGGAGCGCTGCCCATCGCCGGGAATCACCACGCTGCAGGACCCAAGGAGAGCGGCTGGGAAGGGGCGGCCAAGAGGACAAGGCACCGGATTTGGGGGCAGCAGCCGACCCCATGCTATGCCACAGCGGCACAAACCAGAAACACGTTTCCCAACCGCAAACGGGAAGTTGCTTCAGCCCTCAAACGGGTACACCAGAGCAAAACGGGGCTGGCAGCCCGGCCCAGCGCGGTGCCTCGGTCTGGGGGAGCCCAGCACCGGAACCAGAGCTGATCCCCACTGCCATGGGAAGAACCAGCAGCACCACACAACCGGCTGCACCTCTCCCACTGCTATGTGGGGCTTCGCCCTTTGCCAGCTTCAGGGACAGGGTGCTGAGCCCCATTCCCCAGCACTCCGAGGCGGGTGAGCCCATGTCCGGCCGCCAGCTCTGCCCCAAGGCCTGGCACATGCCGCGGTGCCGCTCTCCATCATCTCTCCACTGCTTACTTGCCACAGTCTCCTCCTTCTTTGGGGAGGGCTCCCGCAAGGGCAGCGGTGACGGCGGCGGCTGGTGCCAGCGGCACAAGTACATTTCCGTGGTGGACAGATAGGGCAGGTCGTCTGCCTCGCTGCTGAAGAAGCTCTTCTCCTTGGGGTGGGCACCGGGGCCCTTGGGCAGGGACGAGGCTCGGAGCGGGGTCTCCAAGAGCGCCCTGGGTTTTTCCGGAGTCTCTTGGCTCCGCAGTTCCCGTTTACAAACAGTTTCGGACAAGGAGCCGCCCGATTCCTCCTTCCCCGGGGAGTGCTTTGGAGTTTTACTCTTCACTTTGGAGAACTCCGACACCAGTTTTTTAACGGGCGTCTTCCTCTCCGTGCTCCCAAACGCTGGCTTCCTGTGGGAGGAAGAAGAGCTGAGCCAGGCACGTGGATCCTCACCCCGTGCTGGGGCTGCCAGGGCTGTGCACCGGGGCTGGCTGGAGGCAGGTTCCTCCATGTGAGAGGGGCTCCGCCAGCATTTTGGGGTCCCCCCACCCAGGGTTTCATGAGGTTCCCCTCCATCCAGTGCTCAATGGGATGCGCTCCCAGTACCGAGCAGCACTGGGATGATTTGGTACCTTCACACCCTCCAGCCCAACAGATGGAACACGAAGCTTCAGGGAGGGTCCCCTGCTTTCCCTCCCAGAGCCCCCCCAGGCACACTGTACCTTTTATGCCCCTTCCCGTTGCGGCCGTAGGGGAAGTGCTTGGGCTGAAGGGTCGGGGGGGGCTCCAGCAGGTCCTGGGGACACTCCAGGGGCAGCTTCTCGCACGCTTCTGCCTCCGGCTTCTCGTCCACCTCGAAGCCCTGGAAGATGCGGTGCTTCTCCCGCTCGCTGTCCTTCTTCACCAGCTGCACCCGCCTTTCCATGCGCTCGATGCGCGCAAGGAGCTGCAACACAGGCTGAGGGTGAACCCCCCATGCACCCCAGCTGCCTGCACCGTGCCCTGCCTGCACATCCCTCTGGAAGCAAAGAACACCCCCCCCAGGGAAGAGCCGACCCTGCGGTGCTCTGGCACAGGACCAGTGCCACCCTGCAGCAAACCGTGCCCATGCTGGCATTTACCTGGTGACTCCTTGGCAAGGCTTGGGGTGCAGAAGCCCCCACAGACAGCGCTTGAGCCATCCCCGCTTGGGCTCAGGCGGCACCGCGGGCTTCCCGGGAATGCCACAGCTCACGCCGTGCAGGACAGGAGGATGCCGCCAGCGCTGGGTGCGGCGGGCATCGCACCCCTGGACACTTCAGCTGCGATGCAGGCAGGGACCAAGATGTCCAAACAGCACAAAATGGCCACTGGCTTCTCCCCATCGGCACTGCCCATCCCCATGGATGTAGACCCCACGTTCTAAGGAATCCGGGGGTCTACGACATCTGCTGCACTCTCCCCAGGAGGGAAAGGGTGCTTTGTAATTGGATGCGTGCTTCGTTAGCACTCATTTTGGTGACACCCAAACCCAACCCTGCATTCAGC